CTTAGCTCACAAAACAAGTACTATTAGTCATAGACAATCACACTGTATTTTCAGGGTTTGTCGTGAAAACATCTGTTCGTCTAAAACACTTAAATAAATTCAAGAGACGACCACAGTGGTTAAAAATTGCTCTCACGACAAACCCTGAAAAAAACTGTGATAATCTATTTTCTCTGTTTTCCTCTATAGTAACGTTATCACTGTTGCTGTGGTTTCCTCAGTAGTAACGTTATCACTATTTCTTTGTCACCCTCAATAGTAACGTTATCACTATTTCTGTGTCTTACTCAATAGTAACGTTATCGCTATTTTCTGTGTTTTCCTCAATAGTAACGTTATCACTATTTCTGTGTGTTTCCTCAATAGTAACGTTATCACTATTTCTATGTCACCCTCAATAGTAACGTTATCACTATTTCAGTGTTTTCCTCAATAGTAACGTTACCATTATTTCTGTGTTTTCCTCAATAGTAACGTTATCACTATTTCTGTGTCACCCTCAATCGTAACGTTATCACTATTTCTGCGTCGTCCTCAATAGTAACGTTATCACTATTTCTGTGTCACCCTCAATAGTAACGTTATCACTATTTCTATGTCACCCTCAATAGTAACGTTATCACTATTTCTTTCTCACCCTAAATAATAACGTTATCACTATTTCTATGTCACCCTCAATAGTAACGTTATCACTATTTCTATGTCACCCTCAATAGAAACGTTATCACTATTTCAGTGTTTTCCTCAATAGTAACGTTACCACTATTTCTGTGTTTCCCTCAATAGTAACGTTATCACTATTTCTATGTCACCCTCAATAGTAACGTTATCACTATTTCTGCGTCGTCCTCAATAGTAACGTTATCACTATTTCAGTGTTTTCCTCAATAGTAACGTTATCACTATTTCTATGTCACCCTCAATAGTAACGTTACCACTATTTCTATGTCACCCTCAATAATAACGTTATCACTATTTCTATTTCACCCTCAATAGTAACGTTATCACTATTTCTATGTCACCCTAAATAGTAACGTTATCACTATTTCTGTGTTTTCCTCAATAATAACGTTATCACTATTTCTATGTCACCCTCAATAGTAACGTTATCACTATTTTAATGTCACCCTCAATAATAACGTTATCACTATTTCTATGTCACCCTCAATAGTAACGTTATCACTATTTCTGTGTTTTCCTCAATAGTAACGTTACCACTATTTCTGTGTTTTCCTCAATAGTAACGTTACCACTCTTTCTATGTCACCCTAAATAGTAACGTTATCACTATTTCTATGTCACCCTAAACAGTAACGTTATCACTATTTCTGTGTTTTCCTCAATAGTAACGTTACCACTATTTCTGTGTTTTCCTCAATAGTAACGTTACCACTATTTCTATGTCACCCTCAATAGTAACGTTATCACTACTTCTTTGTCACCCTCAATAGTAACGTTATCACTATTTCTTTGTCACCCTCAATAATAACGTTATCACTATTTCTATGTCACCCTCAATAGTAACGTTATCACTATTTCTATGTCACCCTCAATAGTAACGTTATCACTATTTCTATGTCACCCTCAATAGTAACGTTATCACTATTTCTGTGCTTTCCTTAATATTAACGTTATCACTATTTCTATGTCACCCTCAATAGTAACGTTATCATTATTTCTATGTCACCCACAATAGTAACGTTATCACTATTTCTATGTCACCCTCAATAGTAACGTTATCACAATTTTCTGTGTTTTCCTCAATTGTAACGTTTCCACTATTTCTGTGTTTTCCTCAATAGTAACGTTATCACTGTTGCTGTGGTTTCCTCAGTAGTAACGTTATCAATATTTCAGTGTTTTCCTCAATAGATACGTTGTCGCTATTTCTGTGTTTTCCTCAAGAGTAACGTTATCACTATTTTATATGTTTTCCTCAATAGTAACATTATCACTGTTTCTGTGTTTTCCTCATTAGTAACTTTACCACTATTTCTATGTCTCCCTCAATAGTAACGTTATCATTATTTTCTGTGTCTTACTCAATAGTAACTTTACCACTATTTCTATGTCCCCCTCAATAGTAACGTTATCATTATTTTCTGTCTCTTACTCAATAGTAACGTTATCACGTTATCACTATTTCTGTGTGGTGGTCAATAGTAACGTTATCACGTTATCACTATTTCTGTGTTTTCCTCAGTAGTAACGTTATCACTATTTATGTGTTTTCCTCAATAGTAACATTATCACTATTTCTGTGCTTTCCTTAATATTAACGTTATCACTATTTCTTTCTCACCCTAAATAATAACGTTATCACTATTTCTTTGTCATCCTCAATAGTAACCCCATCACTATTGCTGTGTTTTCCTCAATAGTAACATTATCACTATTTCTGTGCTTTCCTTAATATTAACGTTATCACTATTTCTTTGTCATCCTCAATAGTAACGTTATGACTATTTCTGTGTTTTCCTCAATTGTAACGTTTCCAATATTTCTGTGTTTTCCTCAAGAGTAACGTTATCACTATTTTATATGTTTTCCTCAATAGTAACATTATCACTATTTCTGTGCTTTCCTTAATATTAACGTTATCACTATTTCCGTGTTTTCCTCTATAGTAACGTTATCACTGTTGCTGTGGTTTCCTCAGTAGTAACGTTATCACTATTGCTGTGTTTTCCTCAATAGTAACATTATCACTATTTCTGTGCTTTCCTTAATATTAACGTTATCACTATTTCCATGTCACCCTCAATAGTAATGTTATCACTATTTCTGTGTCACCCTCAATAGTAACTTTATCACAATTTTCTGTGTTACCATTATTTCTGTGTTTTCCTCATTAGTAACTTTACCACTATTTCTACGTCACCCTCAATATTAACGTGTTCACTATTTCTGTGTTTTCCTCTATAGTAACGTTATCACTATATCTGTGTCTTACTCAATAGCAACGTTATCACTATTTCTGCGTCGTCCTCAATAGTAACGTTATTAGTAACGTTACCACTATTTCTATGTCACCGGCAATAGGAACGTTATCACTATTTCTGCGTCGTCCTCGATAGTAACGTTATCACTATTGCTGTGTCACCCTCAATCGTAAGGTTATCACTATTTCTGCGTCGTCCTCAATAGTAACGTTATCACGTTATCACTATTTCTGTGCTTTCCTTAATATTAACGTTATCACTATTTCCATGTCACCCTCAATAGTAACTTTATCACAATTTTCTGTGTTACCATTATTTCTGTGTTTTCCTCAAGAGTAACGTTATCACTATTTGCTGTGTTTTCCTCAATTGTAACGTTTCCAATATTTCTGTGTTTTCCTCATTAGTAACTTTACCACTATTTCTATGTCCCCCTCAATAGTAACGTTATCACAATTTTCTGTGTTACCATTATTTCTGTGTTTTCCTCAAGAGTAACGTTATCACTATTTCTTTCTCACCCTAAATAATAACGTTATCACTATTTCTTTGTCATCCTCAATAGTAACGTTATCCCTATTTTCTGTGTTTTCCTAAATTGTAACGTTACCACTATTACTGTGTTTTCCTCAGTAGTAACGTTATCACTATTGCTGTGTCACCCTCAATCGTAAGGTTATCACTATTTCTGCGTCGTCCTCGATAGTAACGTTATCACTATATCTGTGTCTTACTATTGAGTAAGACACAGATATAGTGATAACGTTACTATCGAGGACGACGCAGAAATAGTGATAACGTTCCTATTGCCGGTGACATAGAAATAGTGGTAAAGTTACTAATGAGGAAAACACAGAAATAATGGTAACACAGAAAATTGTGATAAAGTTACTATTGAGGGTGACAAAGAAATAGTGGTAACGTTACTAGTGAGGAAAACCAAGAAAATAGTGATAACTTTCCTATTAAGGAAAACACAGAAATAGTGGAAACGTGACAATTGAGGAAAACACAGAAAATTGTGATAACCTTACTATTGAGGGTGACATGGAAATAGTGATAACGTTACCACTATTTCTAGGTCACCGTCAATAGAAACGTTATCACTATTTCTATGTCCCCCTCAATAGTAACGTTATCACGTTATCACTATTTCTGTGCTTTCCTTAATATCAACGTTATCACTATTTCTGTGCTTTCCTTAATATCAACGTTATCACTATTTCTGTGTGGTGGTCAATAGTAACGTTATCACTATATCTGTGTCTTACTCAATAGTAAGACACAGATATAGTGATAACGTTACTATCGAGGACGACGCAGAAATAGTGATAACGTTATTATTTAGGGTGAGAAAGAAATAGTGATAACGTTACCACTATTTCTATGTCTCCCTCAATAGTAACGTTATCACAAATTTCTGTGTTTTCCTCAAGAGTAACGTTATCACTATTTTATATGTTTTCCTCAATAGTAACTTTACCACTATTTCTATGTCTCCCTCAATAGTAACGTTATCATTATTTTCTGTCTCTTACTCAATAGTAACGTTATCATTATTTTCTGTGTCTTACTCAATAGTAACTTTATCACAATTTTCTGTGTTACCATTATTTCTGTGTTTTCCTCAGTAGTAACGTTATCACTATTGCTGTGTCACCCTCAATCGTAAGGTTATCACTATTTCTGCGTCGTCCTCAATAGTAACGTTATCACAAGTTTCTGTGTTTTCCTCAATAGGAAAGTTATCACTATTTTCTTGGTTTTCCTCAGTAGTAACGTTATCACTATTTTCTGTGTTTTCCTAAATTGTAACGTTACCACTATTTCTTTTTCACCCTCAATAATAGTAACGTTATCACTATTTTATGTGTTTTCCTCAATTGTAACGTTACCACTATTTCTGTGTTTTCCTCAGTAGTAACGTTATCACTATTTCTATGTTTTCCTCAATAGTAACGTTATCAGCAATCTGTGTCTTCCTCAATAGTAACGATATCATTGAAAATAGTGAATAATTTGTTCTCACAAAAATAAATACATGTACAAGCATTCCCCAGAAAAAGAGCCATGACTTTTATTCTTCAAAATGGCCTATAATAGCAAGTACATTATTCAACTGTTAAATTCTAGTTAAATACGAAAAAAGTCTTTTACATCTAATGTTCAAACAGTTGTTAATTACTGATTTTTCTGTACTTTATAAATTCGGTCTATGAAAGGAGCGCGTTCGAAATTGTTTCGTTGATTCCCCATCGGACCATCTGTCTCGTGTAAACCAATATCGCCTGATTTGTCCTCCGTACTCCAGTCCTTCTTCCTCCGGGCAAGAAAGAGTACCACACATTGTATACTAATCACCATGAGGTTACAGAGGATTTCAAATGATGACCGTTTAATCCGGAAGTCTTCTATGTCATATTTTGCGCATGCGCCTTGCTCTTGGCATCTTGAACTCCAAACTTTACAACAAGAGTCTACTATGCTACCAAATATCATCGGCGCCGGCAGCCACCCTGTACATAATAGGAAGAAAATAAAGTTTAAAACGCCTTTTAAAACAACCATAAATAAACAAAAGATGCAGCTTATCCTCGTTCACCTATGGAATATGTCAAGACAAAATGGAAAGCACGCAGTTAACTATATGAAGGATTTCAGATAAACATACGAAATATCCCTTCAATGATACCTGTCATTTGAAGAAGAATTGTGACACCCGACTACAAAGCTGGATAATTTTACCGATATGCTGCTGCACGATTATTTTAATGTACATCAAAGCATCTAACTGTTAAATAATGGTTAATTTGATTTTACATTGTTTAACGTCCTTTTAACAGCTAAGGTCATTTGAGGACGTGCCTCCATGTATGTCGTGTAAGCGTGCCGGAAACAGGGTATGTTAGTGTACTTGCCTCCTTGTGATAGCGCGGATCTGATGCCAACTTAATAGTGCTATCTCACTGAAAAACCATGCAAAAGGCACCCAGCATAGCATTCCGCCCGGTCACATTATACTGACAACGGGTGAACTAGTCGTTGCCATTACCCTAAATGCTGAACGTTAATAGGGAATAACAACTACCATTTTCAAGGACTTTGGTATTAGTCCCGGCCTGGGGACAGAACCCATTGCCTTCCTCACCTTGGCGAACGTTCAATTTTAAAGCCAAAAGTGGGGTGTTGCCAAGCAAGGCGCTAGGAAATAAAAGATGATATTAGAATTAGCAAGAAACATAAAGATCCCAGATATTGCAATGGGTTTAAGGATGGTATTTCGGTATACAACAAACTGCTTGTTCCACATTTCCCTTTACAATCCCATTATTGAAATGAATATTAACGTTAATTTGTATTTACATGGAATGGTGGACCTTTTGAAAAGTTCAGTGTTAATATCTGCGATTTTCAGAAAAAGTTGAATTCCTAAATGGAATCTGTAGTCAATGAGAGGAAGATGATATTTCATGGTGAATTTGAGACAAAAAAAAAGGATATCTGAGGACTTGGAACAAGGCGAAGATCTTTGGACTTTGAGAAACGAAATGGTAATATTTTGAGAACATTGGGACAAGGCTGTTCAATTTGAGACAATGTGGATATCTTTATAATTTGGAAACAGATGATATTTGTTGATTTTGAGACAAGATGGATATCTGTTGATTTTAAAACAAGGTGGATATCTGTTAACATGAAAACAAAATGGATATTTGTTGACTTGAAAACAAGATAGATATCTGTTTATTTGAAAACAAAGTAGATATTTGCTGACTTGAAAACAAAGCGGATTTCTCTTGACTTGAAAACAATGTGGATATCTGTTGAATTTGAACCAATGTGGATATCTTTAGGCTTGAAAACAAAGTGGATATCTGTTGACTTGAAAACTAAGCGGATATATGTTAACTTGAAAGCAAAGTAGATATTTGTTGACTTGAAAACAAAGCGGATTTCTGTTGACTTTCAAACAAAGCGAATATCTGTTGACTTGGAAACAAAATGGATATTTGTTGTCTGAAAACAAAGTGGATATGATTTAAAACTTGAGACAATGCTGATATCTCTTGACTTTGCAACTAGGTCGATATTGTTGTCTTTGAAACAAGGTTCATATCTGTTGGCTTTGAGACAAGGTAGATATATGTGGACTTTGAGACAATCTGGATATTTGTTGAATTTTAGACATTCGGATATCAATAAATTGATATTTACATTTAAATTTTGCTATCAACAACATATGCCATTTAAGCAAGGTATACATATCAGTAAGAACTTTTTGCGGGGAACACGATTATTTAAATAAGTATCCTTGAAAAATATCACACGCTGCCTTCGACTCAGTGAATAATAACCTTCGTGTAGATACAGTTAGGAAATATATTTACCTTATAAACGTAATTTATAGGTCACGTGTATTATTATCAGTTTTAATACAACAAATATGTAGTGTTAAAAAAGGCATTCTCACCGAGTATAGAATACAGGAATGAGCCCAGTCCGAGAGCCAGTGGTTTTTGTCTGTCATTTACACTTCTGAAACACAAACAATTAGGAAATATGAAATTTACATTTATTTTAGTTTTCATTTTATTTTTTACAATTTGATTGAAACATATAATAAGAAATACAGTAAGACCCATTTGGTAATCTTCTTCCTTGAGAACATACAGTATCTTCATCTAACCATCAAATTATAATTTTGGCAGTTAAACGTGGATGACAATACACTAACTACAAAAGGATAATCAATATAACATAAAACATACATGTATCACGCGACCTACAGCTTTGAGCTCACCTGGCAGAAATATGGTAAACAGGATATGTTTTAGGTCAGCTGTTGTACTGCAGAATGACACATACGTGTGTTTGCCATCTCTAGAAATCGTCATCACAATGAACGTTTTTTTTGTGTGTTTTTTTTACGTTCAAATTGTTTTATTCCCCCTGCACAGTGAACTTACCTTTGCGAATATTAAACCCTCTGAATAATTTCTTTGAATAAGACATGCATTTCATATTTACCACGGTAAATAAATAAAAGATCTGTGAAGATTTAATTCTGGTAAATAGAGGATATCTAAGAATGTCTTCAGTAATATCAAATGTATTTCAAGAGTGTTGCTAATATTTTGATATCTCTCACGAGTGTGCAGTGAAAGCTATATGTAACTGTGGAATCATACGTTGTATTTGGGCATCGATGCAGTTCAAACCTCGGCTATCACGTTGCATAATTATGAGGAATGGCAGACTCAGCCGACATTTTGTACTGAAGGTCCAAAAGGCCGCAATCATTGGCAGCCCCATAAAGTGCTTAGGGAAATTGTTTGATGACATACCTTCAATCATTGGCAGCCCCGTAAAGTGCCTAGGGAAATGGTTTGATGACACACGCAGTGACAGCCAGACCCACAAGAACACCCAAAGTCAAGTGCGCCAAGACTTACATGACTGCTGCTTCTGTATGAAATACCAACCTCAACAGTAGAAGGGTTAGAGAAGACGGTGAATGGGAACCTGCGGAGGTGGCTTTGGTTCCCACAAAGTTTCATATCAGTTGGGCTGTACAGTTGTTTGGCAGAACTACAACTACCAATCAAATCGGTCTTTGAAGAGTTCAAAGTAGCAAAATGCAGGCTGGTGATGACTCTGAGGGACTCCAAAGACGTGAAAATCAGCGAGGCATGAATACAGACAAGAACAGGGAGAAAGTGGTCAGCAAGCACTGCAGTTGGTGAAGTAGAGAGTATGCTCGAGTTGATATCATCGGGAATACCTACGTCGAAAGACAAGGAGTTGGCTTCTCTCATTTCCAGCAGTGGGAGAAAGCAAAACCCAAGAAAGACGGCAAATGGTGCAGAAAGAAATCAGAAGGATTGAGGGGGAAAGGAGAGAAGGGAAATCTGTGGAACTCAGCAAACAGGGAGCGTGGACCAGATGAAATATCCTAGAGAGGAAGATGACGTGGACTGAAATATGGAGGACGGAGCCCTCCCGGATATCATTTTTTGCTACAATCCGTATATGACACGCTACCATCTCCTGTTAACCTGCATCAGCGGGGATTTACGGAGGATCCTTGCTGCAAACTATGCGGAGGAAGAGGAACAATCTTGTCTGGTTGCAAAGAAGCACTAAGACGGGGTAAATACCGATAGAGGCACGACAACGTCTTGCGGGTCCTAGCAGATATCATTGAAGTGGAGAGAAGGAAGAAAAGAACTGGTGTAAAAACAAACCAGGCTGGTATCAAATTTGTAAAACCAGGGGGAAAAACCAGAGTAAAGCCTCGAAGCACGTCGTCCATCTTGGAATGGGCACCAACATGGGAGATGAAGGTTGACCTTGACAGAAAGTTTGTGTTTCCAGGAATAGTGGAAACAACACTGAGGCCTGACATGGTAATATACACAAAGCAATCCAGACACCTCATCGCCATAGAGCTCACCGTACCATGGGAGGAAGGCTGCGAGGAAGCTCACGAGAGGAAGAAAGTCAAGTATGATGAGCTAATGGAAAAGTGCATGAGCAGAGGATGGACAGTATGGCTCTTTCCAGTGGAGGTTGACTGTAGAGGTTTTCCCGCACAGTCAGTGTTGAGGACACAACAGTCGACATGACTTACTGGGAGGGCAAGAGCTACCGCCATCAAACGATTGGTCGAAGCTGCAGAGAGAGCATCGTGCTGGCTATGGCACAAACGCGAAGAGCCGATGTGGAAGCCGACATAGACGAGTAGTGGTTTGGCCACCACTACTGACCCACCATTCGGAGGATGTAGTGATTAAGGGTCGAAACATCTGAAGACGGCTGGCTTCGCGACAAGAATGACAGCAGTGACGGACTACAAGTCAAGGATGTTACAATATGGAGAATTACCATCACCTGTAAGCAATCATCCCCCAGAGAATAATTCCCTCATGATAGGTAACAGATGATTATTCCTGGCAGTAGAATGAGCTGATGTCTCAGACTGATTTTCCCCAAGACTTGCGTACCGTTAAGCTAACCGGGCTTTTACCAGATGGGTCACTTGTAATCTTCCCATTTTAAATGAATAGTTTCCAATATTTCACTGGTTAAAATGTAATAAAAACATTTATTTACCTTATCACAAAGATAAATCCAGGCATTATACCGATGCAGGCCACGAAGGAACCGATAAAAGACATCGCTAAAAAACCGTACAGGTTCCATGTGTTACAGTCAGAAGGGCACAGACCAGGTGTGGCTGTTGCGTTACCGCTGACACATGCGCAGTTCGTGTAAAGCTAAATAAGAAATTGAGGAAAAGAAAAAAATCTCAAGATTGTTATTTCTTTACAAGTTTTTCGTCTAGGGTCTTGTACAATGTATTTTAGATAAAACACGTCTCAGCTGAAGTGTACTACAGCGTCCAACACACAAGGACAAAATATACCACCGCGTCAATCAAAGGACGAAACAAACCTTAGCGTCAGCATACAAAATAAGATACTACACAGCGTCAACACACAAAACAAAATATACCACAGCGTCCTCATACAAAGACAAAACATACCACACTTTCAACATACTAAGACAAAACATGCCAAACTATCAACATACAAGGACAAAATATACCACAGCGTGAACATACAAGGACAACACATACCAGATTGTCAACATACAAGGACAAAATATACCACAGCGTCATCATACAAAGACAAAACATACCAAACTATCAACATACAAGGACAAAATATACCACAGCGTCAACACACAAGAACAAAATATACCCTACTGTCAACATACAAGGACAAAATGTACAACAGAGTCAACATACAAGGACAAAATATACCCCACTGTCAACATACAAGGACAAAACATACCACACTGTCAACATACAAGGACAACATATACTACACTGTCAACATACAAGGACAAAATATACCACAGCGTCAACATACAAGGACAACACATACCAGATTGTCAACATACAAGGACAAAATGCACAACAGCGTCAAGACACAATGGCAATATAGACCACATCATCTACACATAAAGACAAAATTTAACACAGCGTCAAAACACAAAAATATAATATAACTCAGCGTCAACATAGAAGAACAAAATTTACAGCGGCGTCATACAGAGACATATTATACCACAGCGTAGAACAGGATATGCTTACCCTACCGGGTTGTGATGAGGCCCTAAACGCTTTCTCTAGTATATTTATGTTTGTTCAATATCAATAAGGTTTTTTATTCCAAGATAAAATTCATTAATACTCACAAGCTGGTCTTTACCAGTACATCCGGCTTGGCACGGAGAAAAGTAGTTCTGTCCATCTGACCCACATAACGGAAAATAGTCCATGACGTCACAGTTACATTGCGCAGCACAACTACTGTTTGTATCCCTACAAAAAAAGTGAAGTTATATAGTTGGCTTACTGGGCGGCCTAGCTTCCTATTGGCAGTTAAGACAATTTAAAGGTTTGTCTCAATGTATGTGATGGCTATCCCGTTGTCAGTACCATGTGACAGGGTGTGCTTTTTGTCTTCGGCTATTTTATTTTATTGCAAAAACACTCGAAAGTCGACATCAGATATGGGCTATAGCATGGAGGTAAATACATCACGCCTCCGCCATTGTTCTTATTCTAAATGAACATCGTGAAGCCGGGGTTAACAACTACTATTTTAAGGACTGTGTTCCTCCAAAACTTATGACTTTAATACAATCTATTACCTCTAACTGACCGAGATAGGGTTATCTTAGAGAAGATCTAGAAAAAAACTACAGCTATTCGACAAAATTCACAATAATTTCACACTAACCTATCTTACTTCGCTACTGTCTCCTCTTGTCTCAGAAAATTCACAATACAACCTCCGTAATGCCGATAATTATTCTCTACCTAATTTCCGACTTCAACTTTCAAACTCATCTTTTGAAGAGTTATATTGAGTGTTACAATATCAGTCGAGGGCTAAGATTCTGTAACATATTCCCAACCGAGGCGTAAAGGCGAGGTTGGGATGCTACAGAATCTTAGCCCGTGACTGATATTGTAACAATCAGTATAACTCTTCAAGTTGTGATTTATTCAGGAGCACAGGAGTGTACAACATGATCAATACAAAATGGCAGCGTGCTTTTGCAGTTACTAACACTAGAACCAATAAGGAGGACTAGTAATTACGGAAATATGACGTACTAAATATCCGGAATTCATATATCATTACAGAGATAACCCGATCTCGCTCAGTTACAGGGAATAGGTGGGGTTTTTCTAACCTTTTAGTTCGATTTTGTTTTCCCATTTTGATAAGACTACTTAGTTAAAGCACCGTGCCATCGGAGGGATAACAACTAACCCGATCAGACATACATGTAACTCTCTTTTTCCGCCACCGCTGGAGATCGAGTCGAAATTCTTGGGAGAGCGAGTGGTCTGAAACTTAAGGGAAAAATACTTTTCTTAAGTTCATCCCTTCCCGTGCCACTGTTGCCTTCTCTTTGTACATTTCATTTCTTGTGATATTTCGCTTAACAGGTGCTGTTTGTATCGAGGAAGATCAGAAACACGACTCTTCAACATTTAAGATAAAAACAATTGTGCCTCGGTAGCCGTGATCGCTACACGCACAGTCAATGTACTACTGTGTGCAATCAGGCTTGAGCTTCAGACCACTCGCTCTCCCAAGAATTTCGATTCGATCCCCAAAGAAAAAAAGAGAGTGATCGCTGATAGGGTTAGTTGTTATCCTTCCGATGGCACGGTGGTTTTCCTCCGTGGGTTTTCCTCGACTAAGTATGGACTGTTAACTACTTAAGCTACATTTGAATGCTTCCGCGTAAACATGTAGTCCGTCTTTAAAAAGAAGAAAGAGTAATTTATAGTATAGACTATATTATATCGACAAAATCAGACATATAACAACATAATTTACATCAAAGCAATACATATAACTACAAAACAGAATATGTTTGATGCAGATTCCGAGTCGTATACGCGCGGATGAATACATCGCTGTGTACAAATTCCGCGATATGCCACGTAAAGATACCAGACAGATCGGATGAGATAGAAACATCTAGCACGGGATATGACCATTAAAACAGGCATGTAATGGTTCTGCCTAATCAATACTGTAATCTGTGTTAAAGTCAAACAGGAGTTTGCCGTTGGTAAAAAATAAACCTTTTCAACAAGAAAACAAGTGTAAACATATCTTCCACTGAAACGACATTCTCGAATTTGATTGTTTGTGTAAAAATAGTATCAATAGCGTGATTAATGTGATAAATAAGGAGGCAGAAGAACCTCTAAAGGGTTTGTAAAAATATATATCTAACGTTTGGGTAGGGTTGATATGAGTATTGATACATAGATGACGTCCTAGGCGTTTGACTTATATTTTGAGGTCAAAAACGTTTAACCTTTCAAAATTGCGGCACCCAATAATGAAGTAATGAGGTTACGCCTCCATCAAGACGACCGTAAAAATTCCGGTCGATATTGTTGTGGCGGTGACGTTCGCCAGCATGACAGTAAAAAATGGAGAAAGTATGACGTCATCCAAGACGACAGAGTTTAGATTTCTTCTCTATGATATCCAATAGGACGTTGCTGATTTTCGGACCAGAACCAACAGGACTGCGGTTTTCAAATCCATGTATGGCGTCATTAAAATGTCAATGCCAAAATTACATGTATGAGGTAATTATTATTGACTTCCGGGGTGGTTCCTTTCTCTGCTGATGATGTGACAAGAGTTGGGAAATCCCATTGTTTTCAAGATGCAGGTTTCCAGAACAAATAGCATATAATTGTGGTCACGTGGTAGGGACTGGATACTTCCGGTATGAAGGTAGATCCCTAACAAGCCAATTTAGTCGACATGTACGATTGTTTAATTTGGACGGAAATGGCTAAAGATTCACATTCTATAACCGTCATCAAAGAGATTTCTACTGAGTGGTGCCCGATTGTCATTCAAGCAGACAGGAACCGCACGCCAGTGATTGTGAATGTTGCTGTCAGATTATCGGTATTTACCGGAAGTACACGTCATGTGACATGAGTAACTAAAATCTGGTCGAATCCGGAGAGGAAATTATCTCGAAATCGCCGTATTGTATACGTCAAATTGTCAATATGCACAACTTGTTTCAATGTAGTTAGGGTTTTGCATAAATATGTTCAAAACAGTTTATCAAGCTGAATTTTCGCAAGGTACGTCCCTACTCATATCCATATAGATATCGGAAGTAAAGATGACCCCATAATGTCCGGTGTTTTCCGGTGTTAAACATGGTGGTGGATGTCTTTAAGTAACACTCAATATATGGAGTCATTGAGATCCTGAGGAACTCGCCAGGCAGTCAAATGCCAACCTCCGCATGGACCAAAACTATCTTTGTGAAAATTCGATCACACCGCCTTTTTTAGACGACAGCCCAACGAAAAGTCACCGGAGCTAACAAAAAAAGATAAACTTCCCATAATACCATTTAACTCCAAAAACGTTAATAACGCCATTGACTGTAGTAGAGTCTCAGTTATAGGCCCACAGGGGCATTGGTTATACTACCACGAAGTGCAAAAACTAGGCAACACCAAACGGAAATTGTATTGGTCGAGTAAAGATATGGACCAGAATAACCGTATCCCCTAGACTCAAAGACCAGGGGCTATGGTGGAGAAGGGATCCTGTGGAACAGTGACATCGATCACCTGGTCACCAATCATGACGAAGGGAACGAACGGATTTATTGTATTGAGATTAAAGGAAACGTTATACCACTATTGATTATCTGTGTGTACATGTACATACCTAGCAGGAACACGAAAAGCTCGGAGATGGGTTTGGTTTTGCCAACTGCCTACTCATACCACAGGAAGTATTACAAGGAAGTACTAGAAGGTAACACATGGTATAGTCACTGCTGGAGATATGAATGCCGATCTCACCATGGCTTCGTCTCGTCAAAAGAAGCTTGACCGATTTATGGACTCGTGTAGGTATCAAACAACTAGTACGTCGGAGACCTCCGAACATGCAAATAGCAGGGATACATCTACCATAGACTATATATTGTTTCACCTTACATATACCCAGGACAACGGTCTCCCACACAAATACCCAGGACAACGGTCTCCCACACATATACCCAGGACAACGGTCTCCCACACATCATGAGAATCGATGACCTACTGTTAATACATCCGATCATCATCCACTTAAGTTAGTACTCACAAAACCTTGAGAAAATTGACTTGGGAGTTTCATCTTCCGATCTGATCACACTACAGATTGTATTGTTGAGCTGTTCTGGAGTGCTGCTGCAATGGGTCTCTCCACATTCAAGCAAGATTTAAAGGAGAAAGAAACATGTATGAAGCCCAGCCTTCACCAAGGCCACAGTGTCTATCACAGAAGCCCTTTAACAATGGAAGGACAGGCCCAATTGCTGACATGCGAAGAGACACTAAGAAAGAGATCTGAAAACAAAGAAGGATGGAGATCATCAAAGGAGGGACGAGCTCCTGGAAGAAGTCATGCAGACACAGAGGGATAGCAAGAGGATATTCTGCAGTCTCATAGACAGAGTAAGGAAGTCTTCATGAGTAACTCTAACATAACTCGTTGTCGACGATACGGTATACACCAATCCTTCGGATATCCTCTTAGGGTGGCAGCATCACTTCAAAAGACTGGCAACCCCAGCTACACCAAAATTCCAGCAGGTGGTGGAGAGCATGGCAAACATCCAGTACGACGTCGATGTCATCAAATCAGTCTGCCAAGGTCAACAGGCAACATCTGATGAAATGATTACCCCAAAAGGAAGGTAGGAGAATCGATCTCAACCTTGAACAACAAAAAGGCTCCAGATGTTTTCGATCTGTCCACGGAGCACCTCAGGTACGACGATACCAAGGTTGTGGATGTCCTTACCATCCTTTTCAACCTGTACATCTACAACGGGAGTGTCCTAGTTTGAAATCTGGCCTATAAACCCCTATATACAAGAAGAAAGGGCTGAAAAAGGAGGCAAAGAACAACCGATGTATCACTGTTCTTCGAGTCATCCTGAAAACCCTGGAAGCAGTCCTTCGCATTAGGGACCAGATGGTGTTTGACACACAGCAGAATGCTCTCCAAAGAGGCTTCACTAAGGGTGTTGCGCCACTTTGAAGTGAATTGATTCTACGCGCAGTAATCAGCAACAGGTCTCATCGAACACCTTTATTGCATTTGTTGGATTCCAAAGCAGCATTCGACACCGTCAACCAATATTGCACCGGAAGCTCTTCATGACGGAGATCCAAAGAAGGACCTGGGAATTAATTCACGATATCAACATCAATATACAGGCCTCTATCAAAAGGGCAGGATGTTCATCCAATAATATACAAATCCAGTTCGTCAATGAGGAGTTCTGAGCACAGATCTTTACAAAATCTATATAAACAACGTGATAGACCGGATCGTCAAATCCAATATCGGAGCAATAAAAGGAACAATCAACTGTGCCGCTCAAACATGCGCCGACACACTAATAGATCATACCTGTGCTGGACTCCAAGCCTTACTCAATATTGTGAAGGATTATAGTGAGGAACATCTCTACACCCTGTAACTGTGGTGAACCACAGTTGTGTTACCTGTCGTTCCGGACTGTCCGTTTTCCACTTTGTTTATTATTTTCGCCGTCAAGCAGACGCTTGTAAATTGTATATATCTTGGAGTTTTATAAGCGTTCTAATGACACTGGTGTTATAATAGTGGGCGCTAGTTTCCACCAGTCTCGGGGTAGATAAGGNCACTTTCACACACATGTCGCACATGGATCGAAAGATCTATTCTTTATGCACAAGATGAACATATATAACATGCCTCAAACAACTAATACAATCACTAAAAACATATTTTTTCAAACTTACTCTGTTTCACTCTAGTTTTTTGATAGCCCCGCCTTCCAATGCCACGTGACTAAAATATCGCCGGCCTACGTCATAACGTTGGGAAATACCTTCGGTAACGCGAGATCTCGTCAAGTCATGTGACATTTCTCATGGCCTAATTTCCATAAAAAACATGGGTTGGTATAGAAAACGTTGGAAAATACTTTTCGTAATGATCTTTGAAACATGTTATTGATACCACCTAGTGAATAAAGAATAGATCTTTCGATCCATGTGCGATATGTGTATGAAAGTGACGAATTGTTTCTAAAATATCAGTTTGAAGTGCGCTCCGGGCGCGGGTCGCATATTTCCCGCATATTATAGAGGGCCAGAGTTCTGACGTTAATCGACGACAGACCGATATGAAAAAAGTCGATAAAACGTCAGAATAATTCGGACTAAGGCGGCAGCTGAAGCCAGTTAGGACTTTTTAAAAGACACAGACCAAGTTGGGTACCAGATAAGGTAAATAAAGAGATAAACACGTGCCTGAATAAGGCTTTCCTGTATCGTACTATTGTACTGTAAATAATCAGCCTACTACACCTGTTTAAAATACCTTAACTGCAGGAACTTTCGAGCAGGGAGGATGAACCGCGCCCTTGACACAGTGTTGTCTGATAAAGGAGATATTTGGTGTCTGCACACCAAACTCCGACTACTCACTGGAACGTATCCTCTCCAGAGCAGTGGGAGTGGATTCAATCAGAATGCGATTGACCGAACATATCTCCTCTGCAAACAGGCTGCAGAAACCAGGGAACACTTTATTCTGGAATGTTTGCAACTCTCTACGCTTCGACAGGTCACAGTAACATGAGTTGAATCATTGCCTATGCACCAACGTAGACATCAGCACCAGTATGATACTCGATGCATGAAACGCAACAGTTGTAGCAACAGAAACTATGAGAAACGTCTACTTTATTTCAAGAAGACTGTGCTCCTCTCTTCATCGCCGACGATAGAAACTATTACAAAACCTCCCCGCTAACAAGAAGAAAGGAATTTGAATTCTACTACTTCTAAGTATACGGTGATGTGACGCAGGGTTATGTGTGCGGCCAGTCTCTCCAACCTGCAGTCCAGAATTGTGTGGTGATTATATAGATAATATTTATTTTCTATATAAGTGCGCTTCTCCATATTCCGCAGTTTGTGATTAACCCCTGCCCGCTTGTATATATATAAATATGGGAACTGTGCATGCTGTATAAAGTATAGTCTGTGTGACTTTGTAGCGAACTCTACATAACCCGTAACCTTTCCCAGAGCTAAAATATACACCCAGACGACAGCTCGAAATTACTATTAATGACAACAAATAGAGGATCCTTTCACCTGCGCGATAAGCTCGGGTGCTCCTAGAAAGGAGGGCTTTTCCACATACAGATACAGAATGGGAACCGACATCTTGGATAAAGTAACGTGACCGGGAAAACATATTAATGACTGGGGGAAGGATCTGTCAGCCTCCGTTATGGTTTGGATCATACTACCACCGTGTTTACCGCCATTCTGTAGGCTAACACCGCCACAGTCATCCTGGCATCTATATATATATATATATATATATATATATTAGAGAGGATGTAACTTCATAATTGAATGCCTTTATCTTGAAATGTCAAAAGTCGAAAACGTCACATTGCGCTCTCATAGTATATCATATCATCAAATATTATTAATGAAATCACATGATGAGGATGATGAGGATGATAATAATAATTATAATAATAATAGTTGGAGGTTTTTTTTTTTTTTTTTTAATGAAATCACTAAGGACATGAACTTTTGAAATTGTAGAAATGTTTCATTCAACATCACAAACATAAAACTCACGTACATCTGGTTGTTGTAGTTGACGATCCGTGGATTGGAACAACCGAGAAAAAAGGTGGTAGAATTGGCGAGAGCAAAAATTGCGTTTGTTACCATAGTGCACTTGAGACAGGTCAAAGGTGAAAACTTGAACTTTGACACTATAACTCCACCAACCAGCGTACCAATTCCAGCAGACAAAATTCCAAGCATTCCTGAATGATACATATAACAATATCTGAAGAATTATCAAATATTAATCAGCAAATTAATACTTTATATGCGTTGATATTAGTAATAAAATACGTAGAAGACCTTCAGCGAGTAGTTTATATTTGAGGATCAGCTCATGGGAATAGAAATATTAAATCATAATCGACCTTACTGTACGAGTTCCATAGTATGTTTCCCTCATAATACGAACCGTAGTTACATAGGATGTGCTGGGGTGGTTTTCTTTGCGAATATTACAAAAACATAGGCAAGGGTTGGTTGTGGTGACACCTGTAGTATTTATGAGGAAATAGTGGATCTGTTTTATAAACTTGGTTTTCAACAAACGGTTAATTCAATGATCGACTTATTTAAAAAGCCAGTTAAGAACGAATGTATTGAAAGTACTCAAGAATGATACAAGCTGAACATATTAAGTCTAATTACTATATTGAAATAACGTCTACAATTTGAGATAAAATATGGACCTATCCTGTTACATGCTCATACATATAATTTCTACAGGAAGAGAGACAATACGGACATTTCCATTGTTTTGCTCACTTAGTCGATGACTACACGAAGGAAGACAATATTTTGACTTCTGGTAATATAGTATTATATTGATCATTTCTACCCGAAGAGGGATAATTAGGACTTTCTAGTTTTTGATCATATATATTATGTCTACAAGAAGAGAGACACATCGGACACTTCCGGTTATCTCATCATATAGATAATTTATATAAGAAGAGAGACAATTTGGATACTTCCGGTAATATCATCGTATAGACAAGAGGAGAGAATATCTGTGCACTTCCGGTTATATGATAATATAGAAAATGTCTACAGGCAATATGGAAACTTCCGGTTTCATGATCATACATATAATGTTTTCACGAAGAGAGATAATCCATGCACTTCCTTTGTTCATACTTTATCAATCGTTTGCAAAAAGAGAAAAGATTATAGAGGATATACGTATGCCCTTTATCAGTGCCGACGACGAACAAAAGACGGACGTTGCAAACCCGAAATAGTGAGGGCTTTCACCCATTATTACATACCCATTAATATATTTGCAAGCCAAACCGGAAGTGCAAACTGAGTCTCCAGATATTTCGGCGTAAATGAGATGAAGGCCGACACCGCAAAAATATCGAAGCAGCCACAGAGAATCATCAGCATATACACCGGGTTCCGAATTAGCTCATAGAGGTCTTTCATGAAGTCTGAAGCAGAAAATGTGATAATAGCAAATAATGGGGGAAAATGAAACAAGAAACCGCTCGATTTTGATTTTTTGTAAAAAAAAAAAAAAAAGTATAAATGTAACATTAAAAAAAGAGAATTAGCCTCATGTGTTTGCTATTAAATCGCATTCTTGATATGCATTTGATGATGAACATATTAGGGGGACAACACTCTTAATTTCGACGACGACGATGACGACGACGACGATGACGATCAATGATGATGATGATGATGATGATGATGATGATGATGATGATGATGATGATGATGATGATGATGATGAAAAGGGTCGGAAAGGGCCGTTTAAACTACCTTTGAAGTTAAACGTCGTATTCTTGTGTTTCAAAACAACTGGTGGTCTGAGTCTGCGCGGAAAACATAGCAGCGGAAGACTAGCAAGAATAGACAGACAGCCGAAAAGGAGGAATCCAATCCACCAAGCTCCTATCCATCGGGGATGATACGGCGAGATCGGCACGTCTACAAAATACAATAGACGGAATAAGTTTCATAAGTTCGGTACGAATAATAAAGCGAAGTTTGTTTTGAACACAAACAGGAATTGAAAACTTATTTTGGGAGCTTTAGAAAACAAGGGGCGGAATGGTTAAACATGTCCCCCTGACTGCCTGCAGTATTAAAGTGCAATTGGGCGAAATGTCTCTCTGATTTTTGACAGCTGAATTAACTGATGATTTCAGCGGTTAAGAGTCGAGACACCCGTCATTTGCACTCTTTGCTTGACAAAGGAAACAGACGTTTTCGAAAGCTCGCAAAAGGTTTTTTCATTTCGTGTTTGTGTTCAAAACAAGCTAAGACTTTGAAGAACAATATGATATGTTATGCTATATAAATAATATACCGCAGTTAAAATTACATTTAAAACATTATACTGAATTTGATTTATGCGTAGTTATGTTTGAAAAACAGAAACCATTCATTAAAAGATACAACGGAAACAGTTATTTTATGTGCATTGAACATGGTTTTGATTTAAACATATTTTATTGTAATTTATATACAATGGGAGTTTGGCACAAGTTTAACAACTTATATTAAGCCCTTTCCCTACACTATATTAATATATAATTTTCACGATATATATTTACATTGGCTTTGATTGAAAAAGGGAGAGACAGAGAGCTAGACGGAGACAGACAAAGACAGACATACAATCAAACAGACGAACGGCCGGACGGACGGACAGACAGACAGAGTTATCCTTAGTATAACAATCTAGTCCGAAGTATGATTATATAAGAAACCTGACCTTCGTATTGAACTATGTAATAAAATTTCAGTGTATCTCGGGCCATGTCATTTTCCCCTCTCCATACAAACAGAACTAGTGATAGTCTATTCACTATTCTCAACTTTCTTAATACTGTAACTGCTGTCGAATATGACGTAAGTATACTACGTCACATCATACCTCGGATACGTAAGCTAGAATAACTGACAAAGATATAACACGTGACACCATACCCCACGTGCGTCACCTACCTTCAAGCGTGACGTAGATCCTGGTGAAGAGACCGCCGAGACCAAAAGCGATTGCGGGGCCGAAAATGCCCATGCTGGAAATTATTCCTAAATGAAAGTCAACAGTTTAGAATTAGACATAATTGCATCTCAAAAAATAATAACTTTTCTTTTTGTGCGCAGACTGAAAAACTACAACACAAAATGAAAAAATAATAAATACAAAAGCAAACAAACAAAAATTGACATTCATTTTCGGTAGCTGACCCAGGTACCATACAATGGTGTCATGTTTGATCCTTGTTTTAGTAATTGTGAACCAAATGAAAGCATAAAGGACGATAAAATGAATTTTTTTTGTTGTTTTTAAATCAAATATACGAATAAAAATGCATTACTTTATAATCACGATGGTACCATCGCATCATTGAACATACAAATGTATATATTGACGGAACATGATAAACAGGATAGGGGACACAACTCTTCATAACTAAAAGTGCCATCGTAAATATTTTAAAGATGAATTTCAATCCTTAACAAGTGCAATGGGGTGGGGGCATTGCAAAGGTCCCCAAAACTATCCCTGCTGTAACAAATGATGCCTATATAAGTTGTAGTAGTGTTCAGAATACCATAATGCATTTATCTACCAAATGTGAGCAAAATCGGTCATTATCTAAATTTCGGCCAATCAGAGGCCATGGCAGCCGTATTTGATGACTAATCAAAAAATGGAAAGTCACCTGCACACCACTGTCTATTCACCAACACTCATGTAAAGTTTCGTAATATTCTACCTAATAGTTTTGCGAGAAAACTGCCGTAAACGTAATACAAATTTGAGCTAAAAATGTAAAACCCTAAAATTTCGTTTTGGGAGAATAATTAACGGTTAATTGAATGCATAAAGGAGTTAAAATAATTCTGACACAACTGATTGCAACACTACTTACCTACGTAGAGAGCTGTTTTAGTTTTGGTGCCGTTATCATCAATATAGGTGGACATCAGAGGCGATCTGGGTGATTTACTTATACCCTGAAGGATCAACCCAACAGCTATGATTGCAAATGCCGTCTTCGTAAACCTGTTAGGTGCGCCGATTTTGCCAGACTCTGTGGAAATTTCGTCCGCGCATGCGTTAGTTAAATTTCCTGTTCCGGTTCTATTTCCATCGCATATTTGTTGTGATTGCCCATAGAACATCGACATATTTGACAACGATGTGTTTAAGCCAAGTATATCAGCATTGGATGATTTTATCAAAAAGCTTGGACGATTCTTTTCAGAAATTGATCCAAAATAAGCTATCGAACAAACGATTGCAGCCACTCCGAAAAACATTGTCGACACACTTAGTACTCTAGGGATATGGATTTTTCTTGCAAAATGGCTTACAATCAACGTGGTAGTGAGAAATCCAATATCATTACAACTCAGAAGGAATCCGCTCTGAGAGCTAGAAAATCCGAAATATTTCTCTAGCGTTGTCAACTGTGACGACATATACGTACTACATGTCGACGTCATCAGTGCTGTCATCCCGAAAAGGAACGTGAATCCCGCGAGATTTGAACAACAGTTCAGTCTTTTGGGTCGACATGACGCCATCCCGCACAACTTTTCCTTCTCGGTGTCCTTAACTTTGAGAGCTTTTCCTTATATGTGTGGTCGATCCAAAAACGAGTCTTGTTATGTCATTTTTTCACAAAATTTACATGACAACCCTGAAAAGTGAATAAGTTAAACGGTTAAAAGTTCGAACACGTCATGAAATATGTTTGAAACGAAATTCCAATATGTTACGTGTACACTGAAAACAACGTGTCAAAACTAATGAGGTTCCCATGTACACTGACAACAAAGTGTCCAAACTAATTAGGTTCCCATGTACACATAAACCAAAGTGTCAAAACTAATGAGGTTCCCATGTTCACTGACAACAAAATATCCAAACTAATTAGGTTCCCATGTACACTGAACACAAAATGTTCAAACTAATGAGGTTATCGTGTACATTGAAAAGAAAGTGTCAAAACTAATGAGGTTCCCATGTACACTGACAACAAAGCGTCCAGACTAATTAGGTTCCCATGTACACTGAACACAAAATGTTCAAACTAATGAGGTTCCCATGTACACTGACAACAAAGTGTCCAAACTAATGAGGTCCCCATGTACACTGACAACAAAATGTTCGAACTAATAAGGTTCCCATGTACACTGACAACAAAGTGTCCAAACTAATCAGGTCCCCGTGAACACTGAACACAAAATGTTCAAACTAATGAGGTTCCCATGTACACTGACAACAAAGTGTCCAAACTAATTAGGTTCCCATGTACACTGCCAACAAAATGTTCAAACTAAAGAGGTACCCATGTACACTGACAACAAAATGTTCTAACTAATGAGGTTCCCATGTACACTGACAACAAAGTGTCCAAACTAATGAGGTTCCCATGTACACTGACAACAAAATGTTCAAACTACACTGAACACAAAATGTTCAAACTGATGAGGTTCCCATGTACACTGAAAACGAAATGTCCAAACTAATGAGGTTCCCATGTACACTGAAACTAATAAAATGTCCAAACTAATGAGGTTCCCATGTACACTGAAACTTAAAAGTGTCCAGACTAATGAGGTTAACACAGCAAAAAAATACCCTGATTGCTGAGGTTTCGCTGTATACAGAAACAAAAATTGTTTGGAGAACGAAGGTATTCAGACTAACAAGTTCCACTGTATTCAGTAAACATATTGTATCTGCTTGGCTTAGCTCCATATAGGTAAGGCATTAGGAATGTGTTACAATAAAAACTCCTACTTATGATACACAATTTTATTTTAAATGGATTTACTTATATACTTTTTTATACATGTTTATACAAATTTCATATCCTGATATTAAAAAAATAGCTGACTTATATACAATAAATATCTATGCAATTTTTATACTTGGTTCAATTGAAGTTCACTTAAATAGCAATGTAGATAGAAATTATTATAAAATTAGAATATATATATGGATATATATATTGCCTTGTAATAGTTTATGTCGTTGTGGTGTGATGAAAATGTATACAGTATGTGACGTTTAGTTATAAGTATAATGTTTGGTTAAAAAAATATATTCTCAAATACTGAACTCCAGAACTCATCCCAATCAAGGGAAAAAAATCAAAGATGTGACTCCTGTGAGAGGATATGTTTACATGATATATGTATACTCATATGATATTTTACATGATGTATCTGTGAAGACAAATACAAAAAAAAAAAAAAAAAAAAAAAAAAAAATGTGTGTACCTAAGTGACACTACCATGGTGACAGAAGTGCTAGGGAGTGGATGACTGTAGATTCAGAACTGACATCTGTCCTCTAGGATGTAAGGTAGGGTATTGTCATAAAATCACAGAGTTTGCATTGTTTGTAAAAAAAATGGTTGTGTTAATATCTGTGTTAGGGAATAAAAGGCACTTCCTAATGAATATTACATCATATTTGCGCTCCAGTTTTATGCAAAGTAAACCACCCGAGACAATAAAGCTTGCCGTGGAGTCACATATATAATTAATATATCGCTTTATTGCAGCAAATTCTTTGAGATTTGTAGCAAATCCGAATTATTTGTATGAAAAAAATAGATGCTATTTAATGAGCTGCTGTTACGGCACGATTTCTTACCCCGACACGATTTCTCACCCGGGGGAGAAATCGTGCGAAATCGTGTTGCGAGCGTAGCAATTTTAGCACGTTTTCTCACCCGGGTGAGAAATCGTGTCGGGGGGAGAAATCGTGCCGTAACAGCTGCTTAATATAAGAATATTAATCATATTGCCATCTGGAAAGAAATGGTTGTTATGCATATCAAATATTCATTGAAAATTGCCTTTTATGACGGATATGATGTGGAAGAGGCGCTCGCTCCTATTTGGACTTTTACTTGCTACATTTAAAAGTCGGCCTTGTTGCATTCTAGCACAACATATTGCTCCCGGGGGTCTGTAAAGCACAAAATCCATGGTGGTTTCGGAGAGGCATTTAAAAAAAATCTCAAGTTTCTGCAAGATAGAAATCCTAGTTTATAGTCTTGTATCAGGAAAACCATAATAAACCATGGAAGGAAAGGCAAATAAAGATTACTGGGAGTTATCTAATTTCAGTGTTAAATTCGGATCCACTCGATTTAGTCAACAGCTTTGTAAGTTATAAATGTTATATTAAAATCTGGATCAATATTAGTATGGTAACTATAAGACATAAAACAATACACGTGCACGAATATAGAAACGTCCTGTTACATGTTTGGGTTAGCCTGTAGCTGAACACTTCTTGTTCATCACGACTTAGAAACCATGTTTATCACTGCAGACAACACATAATTTACGCTCGATTTCTTACATTAAAAGTGCTCAAGTTTAGAAGATTTTTCTGACAAGAACCTTACCGGTAACCATAAGGTTTTTACATAATATCATGGAATTCGGAAGTAGGCCTTTTTAATGTTCCTGATAACGGAGGATTGTTTCCTTAACAGAAAAAGGCGTGTTTATATAAGTCAATTTTTGTTTATGTTTTTGAATTTCATCTTGGGATGAGTAGGGAAAACTTTATATGTCTTCTATTCGGATGAGAATTAATTTAGCGGTCAAGCATTAAATGCGACATAAAAGTACACGCCATTCAATTGATGTTGGTTGTTGTGTAAAGTTTGACCTCTGAACTATCAGGCCGAACCGTATGTAGTTTCATGTTCAACTATGACAAATAATTATGCTTCCGTGTACAAAGTTAATTTTAATTAAATGTGTTCATCCTTACAAATGAATAATTAGGAAATGATACGGTTCATGAATGTAGGACGCGTGTATTTAATTGCACAATGTTTCATATTCAAACCTGATTTTGCAACAGAATGGTTTTAACTTTGATAAGAATACATTTCATGTCTGTTTTTGTATTTACATGTATGTAACCGGGTTAATCGTTTTATATGTACACACTACATACGTGCGCAATTTACGTTAGGAATACCAACCTCACTGCCATGCTTGTGATCAGTCATTTACAGTCATACACTTTATGATTGAATGCGCTGACTATAATATACCGTCTATGAATAGTTAATGTTTAACTGATAAGTGACGATTCACACTCAAACGATCGTTACAGAAAGATATGATATATGCTATTGCCGTAGTGTAACATCCTTTAAACTTTAAACCAATCTATTTTTAGACGTACATGTATTTCTTTTTTTTGTGAACGTCTTATTTTACAGTGTTATTTGGCTTGAAATGAATAACAATGTCGATAGACCGTAAAACAATACGAAGACAAAAAACGAGTTAATAATTATATATACACATATGTGTGAATATAAACATGTATTTGTCATTGTGTACAGGTCTGCGTTATAAGTACAATAAATAACGTGACTTTTGTTTTTTTGTCGCGACATGATGAGGCTACGCGCATGCGTTGGAATTTGGTGCTTTAACGATGGAAGAGCCCTGATAATCTGTGATATACATAGTAATTATTTAGATCTAGAAATGCATAAAAGATACATGGATAACTTTGCATCCAGATAATAAAAAAATGACAATCGTGAAACAAACGAACGTTATAAATGTTTGAAGTTGAAATTGAAATATTGATAAGTATCATAGATGTTCACTCACCTTCTATAGAAACCTGTTGTATGTTTTCAACGTCCAATGTCTAGCAGATCAACGCCATGCTCCTATCTAATCACTCGCGTCTTGATTAAAGCGTCTGTCCGACCTTACAAATTGTATTAGTTATTATCGCCGAATGTTACACAAGCGTACATTATATTTTGACCTGCAGCATGTTGGAAATCATACTTCAAATCAAATAATTTTCGCGAATATTTATTTTTCGACTTTTTTCTCTTGGCGTTGACTTTATAATGTGGGTTATATTTGCGAAGATAGTAAAAACATATATTCAATGTGTATTGTTTCGTCAAATATGTCTTAACACAATTATCAGCGTGCCATGTGAATTTGAGGTTGTCTCTTGGTAAGTTGACGCGAGAATTAATGCCTCGTGATATGTTTTGTGTAAATCATCTTTAAAATGAAGGTTATGACACATTTAACATTTGAAGTGTGTAGCACGTGCCTTTACGATACGATGATCTCGACTTTGTCACCTATATGTAAATAAACACAAAGATACCGGGACGGGGAGACAAGTGACCTCTACTGCTTTGATAACATATAATATGAAGGACCGACGGGGACAGGGACGTAATAGGAAGTTCTAAATGAAGGCCCGGCGGGGAACAGGGACGTAATAGGAAGTTCTAAATGAAGGCCCGGCGGGGAACAGGGACGTAATAGGAAGTTCTGAATAAAGGCCCGGCGAGGAACAGTGACGTAATAGGCAGTTTTGTATGAAGGCCCAGCGGGGACACAAGGACGTTATGCGGAGTTCGGAATGAAGAACCGGCGGGGACACACGGTCATAATGGAAAGTTTTGTATGAAGGCGCGGCGGGGAACAGGGACGTAATAGGAAGTTCTAAATGAAGGCCCGGCGGGGAACAGGGACGTAATAGGAAGTTCTGAATGAAGGCCCGGCGAGGAACAGGGACGTGATAGGAGATTTGTATGAAGGCCCGGCGGGGACACAAGGACGTAATGAGAAGTTCTGAATGAAGGCAGGGCTGGAACACGGGATGGTGGTGGGGAGTTCTGTATGAAGGACAGGCGGGGACACGAGAGCGTAGTGAGGAGTTCTGTGTGAAGGACCGGCGGGGACACATGGACGTAATGGGGAGTTCTGAATGAAGAAGGACCAGCGGGAATGCAAAGACACAGAGGAGAAAACTTCTAAATATTTTCTTCCGGTTTGCATGTATGGAGTGTTCGCAACCAATGAATGTATATGTGTGACGTTTCGATGACTAGTACAATATGTAATCAAATCGGTAAATCGATTCCACTACGCTGTGTCAATACCTGGTCATAGATGTACGGGCAGTCTATGGGAGCATAAAGGCATGTCTAAGGAGGCGATTAATGGTGGCCCTTTAGAATTGATGAGGTTCCTTCGGCGTCCTCTACTTGGGGTACATCGCAGAAACCAATTTAGAACTGCTGTCCCTATTGCAATAATTGGGATCTTTATTTTTTGTTTTCTCACTTGGTAGAAGATATCAAAGAAAATTCCAAATTATTCCCGGGCCCCACATTAGTCGCCTCTCATGAAAGCGTGCAGTGGGATACAGTAAGCCCATTCTTTTCCCAAACCTACAGGAGTTGTGACGTATGAATACTTTTAATTTGGTTTTGTTTGGTTTTGTTTTACGTCCTATTAACATCTATGGTCATTTAAGGGCGTGCCGGGTTTTGGTGGTGGAGGAAAGCCGGAGTTCCCGGAGAAAGACCACCGACCAACGGCCATTACCTGGCGACTGCCCCACGTAGGTCTCGAACCCGCGACCCAGTGGTGGATGGCTAGTGGTAGCAGAATATCAGACGCCTTAACCACTTGGCCACCGCGACCCGCCGTACCACACTTGCATTATGGGATAGTGTCTTAAATCGAATTCGCTCCCCGTCTGAAAAGATGGAGCAAGAGCTAGTATGGTCATAAACTCATAAAAATTAAATATGACTTACACTTATGTATATTATATCGAATTCAGGAGCCTATTCTTATACGTAGTCCCCTCGCTAATAAAACTCGTACATTATGCTCCAAGCTGATATCTCCTTGCTAAAGCTTATAGATGGTGATCAAGAATGTACAGGTACATTGTATATAACATGGTTAGCGTGCGGGAGAAATTTGAGATAACAGCTACTGTATCTCAGCGATACCGTCAGGATCTGTCTGTGGTGGACTAAACCGCTTGGAAAATGCCACTATGGTCAAATAAACACTCGATACCTATACAACTGTACTGTTGGCACTGAAGTCAAATAAACACTGGATACCTGTACAACTGTACTGTTGTCTCTATGGTCAAATAAACACACCATACCTATAAAACTGTACTGTTGTCCCTATGGTCAAATAAACACTGGATACCTGTATAACTGTACTGTTGTCGCTATGGTCAAATAAATACACGATACCTATATAACTGTACTGTTGTCACTGAGGTCAAAAAGACACTGGATACCTATATAACTGTACTGTTGTCACTGAGGTCAAAAAGACACTGGATACCTATATAACTGTACTGTTGTCACTATGGTCAAATAAACCCAGGATACCTATATAAATGTACTGTTATCTCTATGGTCAAATAAACCCAGGATACCTATATAAATGTACTGTTATCTCTATGGTCAAATAAACACTTGATACCTATATAACTGTACTGTTGTCTCTATGGTCAATAAACACTTGGTACCTATATAACTGTACTGCTGTCTCTATGGTCAATAAACACTTGATACCTAAATAACTGTACTGTTATCTCTATGGTCAAATAAACACTTGATACCTATATAACTGTACTGTTATCTCTATGGTCAAATACACACTTGGTACCTATATAACTGTAGTGCTGTCTCTATGGTCAATAAACCCTTGATACCTAAATAACTGTACTGTCATCTCTATGGTCAAATAAACAATTGATCCCTATATAACTGTACTATTGTCTCTATGGTCAAATAAACACACGATACCTGTATAACTGTACTGTTGTCACTATGGTCAAATAAACCCAGGATACCTATATAAATGTACTGTTATCTCTATGGTCAAATAAACCCAGGATACCTATATAACGGTACTGTTATCTCTATGGTCAAATAAACACTTGATACCTATATAACTGTACTGTTATCACCATGGTCAAATAAACACACGATACCTATATAACTGTACTGTTGTAACCATGGTCAAATAAACACTGGATACCTGTACAACTGTACTGTTGTCTCTATGGTCTAATAAACACACGATACCTATATAACTGTACTGTTGTCACTATGTTCAAATAAACCCAGGATACCTATATAACTGTACTGTTATCTCTATGGTCAAATAAACACTTGATATCTATATAACTGTACTGTTGTCACTGAGGTCAAATAAACACTGGATACCTATACAACTGTACTGTTGTCACCATGTTCAAATAAGCACACGATACCTATATAACTGTACTGTTGTCACTATGGTCAAATAAACCCAGGATACCTATACAACCGTACTGTTGTCTCTATGGTCTAATAAACACATGATACCTATATAACTGTACTGTTATCTCTATGGTCCTATACAACTGTACTGTTGTCACTATGGTCAAATAAACCCAGGATACCTATACAACTGTACTGTTGTCACTGAGGTCAAATAAATACCGGATACCTATATAACTGTACTGTTGTCACTGAGGTCAAATACACACTGGATACCTATATAACTGCACTGTTGTCACTATGGTCAAATAAACCCAGGATGCCTATACAACTGTACTGTTGTCACTGAGGTCAAATAAACACTGGATACCTATACGACTGTACTGTTGTCACTGAGGTCAAATAAACACTGGATACCTATATAACCGTACTGTTGTCTCTATGGTCTAATAAACACATGATACCTATATAACTGTACTGTTGTCACCATGGTCAAATAAACACTGGATACCTATACAACCGTACTGTTGTCTCTATGGTCTAATAAACACATGATACCTATATAACTGTACTGTTGTCACTATGGTCAAATAAACCCAGGTTACCTATATAACTGTACTGTTATCTCTATGGTCAAAC